GGAGCTGGGACTTAAGAGTATTCTCCAGGTGGTCAGCGGACTTGATCCCGTGGGATCGAAGGGGCTCGAGAGCGCAATGCAAATCGAGGCTAGCCAGAATATGCACCAGGCTCGCGAACGAGGACCGGTCATGCGGGCACTGTATATGATGCATATTAGCAGGGGCTGCGCTAAGCTCGAACCGCGCCCGGGCCGGATCGGTCGGAGTGTGGCTTGTTCGGCTCTTCGCATGGTTTCTGTCTTCTCTCCTAACCCTTCGCTCTAGTTAGCCTAGTACCTTACGTGACCTTTCGACCATGCGACGCTGCCTGGTGCCTTGCATGACCTTCCCGCAAAGACTGCCTGCCTGGAGCCTTGCACGACCTTCCGACAAGACTGTCGACCTGGTACCTTGCACGACCTTCCCGACATGTCTGTTTGCCTGGTACCTTGCATGACCTTCCCGACAAGACTGCCTGCCTCGAACCTTGCACGACCTTCCCGACATGACTGCACCAAGGTCCCTAGGGCGAACCGCAACATGACTGTCTGCCTGGTACCTTGCACGACCTGCCGGCATGACTGCGACCTCTGACCTGTCACAACCTGCCTGCAGAAAGACCTACCTAGCAACCGCAAACAACTGTGCGAACGGCTGTCGGGCTAACTGGGACCGCACTCCGCTACCTTCTTTTGGCTGCGAACAGCAACTGTCTTTCCCCGAAGGGTCGTTGGCCCGAAGGCAAGCGTATCGAACGTGCTGCCAAAACGCCCTGTCTCTGTAACGAACCTACAGCTCTAACTTGCAACTCTCTGGGGCGGCGGCAGCAAGCGAACAAATTAAGTCCTCTTCGGGTTCGAACGCTTGGCCTCAGTGTGGCAAAAGGCACAAAAGTGGTGCTCATGCACCCGCCTGTAGCCCGAGCGATTTACTCCCGGACATGCTCTCATCCAGCACGACGGGCAGCGAACATTACAGACGCTAGAAACGTCTGTAAAAGGAGGGGGTTCGTCGCGAAAAGTGACGCCCGACTCCACATCACGCTGCGGCCATGGCGCAGGCAAGCCGATCGGCGCATACTGCGGCGCGTTGACCGGGCCTGGCGGACCTTGCTCCAACGCTGTCTCGAGGTTCGCTGCGACCTTCGCCCACTCGAACCTGTCGGGAAGGAACTGTGAGGCGGGGGTGCTCCATCACTAGGTCCTGGCGCCGGGCCCGAGGGCGAACTGGTGGAACTCGCCGTGGTGGTGGTAGATGCCTTGGCCGGTGTCGTGGCCTTGGCATCACCGCGTCCGGGGCCACCGCGGCCTGTGCCGCACGAAGCATGCCGATGGCGTCCTCGCCCGTCTGTGGTGACACGGTCCCAGCGAACATGGTCGCGACCTGTGCTGGCGTCGTTTATTGGAGAACTCGGCACTGCATTGCCTCCGCGACCTTTGCCCTTCTTGCTCAGGGGCGGCGGATCGGCCTTGGCAGTCACGACCAAAGGTGGCGGATCCGCCTTCTTGAAGGCCTTGGCCTCCGCGGACATTTGCTTCGGGACCACGAGCTGCGGTGGCGGTCCTGTAGTGGGCTGCGAACCTGCCTTCTTGGCGGCGGCCCGAGGAGCGGCCACGGTAGCCTGGGTAGTCGACGCCGAAGTGGTGGTACCCCCCGTTGAGCTGTGCGTCCCTGAGTCGGCCGGGGTCACCAAGGGAACTGCGCCCACATCCCCGGCGGTTGCGGACTGGTCATCACCCTCGGCCAGGCTGCGCTCCACCTGTTCGTCGATGGCGAGCTGAACCTCTCTTCGCAGGCGAACCAAGTCGTCGAGGTCAAACCTCTGCATGAGGGGGCTCATCTCCTCGTGGGTCGAGTGAACGACCGTGAAAAGAGCCGCCCATAGGTCCACCTGCGAACTAGCTGTGGAGTCGCCCCTAAGAGCCAGCCATGGCTGTATGCTTTCGAAAAAGCGAAAAAACTCGGCGAGCTCGGACTTCCTGGGGCCTTATTCTGCGAACATGCGAACGGTCCTCTGAAGTCCTCGCTACGCTTGTCACTACGAACACACGTGTTCTGCACGACAAATTTCGCAAACTTGTCTTCTGGGAAGGCCTCGTCGGCCTTTGCGAGTGCACTCTCGCCGAACGGCTGCAGCGAACTCTCTAGACTCTATAGAGTCTAGAGAGGTCGCTGTCGTTGGTATGGGTGTACCACCGGGGCGTCCGAGTGGGACCTGGGCCTTAGATCTGAGAGGCTCGTGCGAAGAGTATAACTCGAGAGCGCCCAGAATATGAACAAGGCTCGTGAGCGAGCTGCGATCATGGGGGCACGGGATATGATGCATCTTTTCTCGAAGGGTGAGACCCCTCGAGCGACCCGAGACTCCCGAGATCAGGAGCGAACCCACGAAAGAACCCGAGACCGAACACGACCAGGCGATCGCCTTGGACCTGGGCAACCGTGGACATGCCTGCCTGCCTGCCTGCCTGTCTGTTTGCCTGCCTGACATGATTGCTTGCCTGAGGCCTTGCACGACCTTCCCTGCATGACCTGCCTGGAGCCTTGCACGACCTTCCCGACCTCGCTTGCCTACACCCTAAGCTGCGGCTTTCTGTATCCTGCACGGTTGACTCGCGGACAAGCCCTTAGCCAGCAGCTCGGGCAACGAACCGAACAGACAGAGCTAACATCTGTATACGGCGGTAGCTCATCACGGAACACCAGCCCGGTCTCAACTTCAGCTTGAGGCCAAGGTGGCGGAAGCCCGACAGGTGCGAACTGTGTCGCCATGATCAGGCCGGGCGGCCCGGCTCCCCGGCCTGTGCGAACTGGGCCCAGCCGTTGGTCTCCTGCGGGGTGGCCTGGAGGGTGTTAAGGTCGAATATCGGGACCTGGACGGCTCCACCCCTCGTAGCAGCGCCGGCGGCCGGCAGCACGGCGATGGCGTCCTCCGCTGTCGCTGGTGCCAACATATACCCGCGAACGGCTGTTGCAATTGGACCGGCATCGCTTTCACCGCCACCTGCTTGGCCTGTGTCTGCCCCGTTGGCTTTGCTGGCGGCGAGGTCGGCGAACTTGACTTGGCACCTTTGCCCTTGCCGTTCTTGCTCGCGACCAAAGCAGGCCGGTCGGCCTTCACGAACGCCTTGGCTGCGACTGACATCCGGGCTGGGGTGGCGAGGACCGGCGGCGTTGTCGTCGGCCTTTGCCGCAGGATGTCCGACCGGAGTGGTCGCTGTCTTTGCCGCTTACGGCTGCATGGGCGACCAGGTCCGCAGCAGCGGACCTTTGAGCTGCTTGCGCCGCCTCTTGCTCCTCGAGCTGACTGCCGTTCGAACTGGCGTTCGACACTGAACTGGAGGTTGCGGCGGAAGGCGACCAGCTCGTCCATGTCGAACCGCTCCAGCAGACTCCAGCAAGAGCTCGAGCTCAGCGAACGGAGCGTTCATCACTGTGAGGAGGCTCGCCCTTCGATCAGGGGCTTTGCTCTCTCCTCCCCGCGAACCAGCCATGGCTCCGAAGTTTCCAAGAAACGAAAAGCTGCTAGCTCGAACCTCTTCTCGGGCCCTTCGCTGCGAACTTCAAGTTGCAGCTCTGTACCTGTCTCCTCGAACGGTCCTCGCTACGCACGCTTGTCACTACGAACACACGTGTTCTGCACAAAACCCCCCAGTTTCAAAGTCCTACAAGTACAGCAAAATCCAACAACTGCGCCAGATATGTCTGAGAAACTGGCGCCCAAGTTGCAGTGCAAGGCCCTGCGAAAGTCATCTGTCCGATACCTCATTTCATGCATGCACCTTCACTCACGCAGCTACCGCACACTCACGCAACTCAGAAGCATGCCACTTGTTGCCTAGCTCGCGCAAGCGGTGCGCGTGATGCACCCTGTCCTCCATGGTCGAGGCAGTAGATTCGCCGTCAACCAATCCAAGACCGTGGAATGCCATGGCGTCCTGGAAGTCCTCTGGTCGGCTAAGGCCTTCTTCGAGCAGCCAGTGCAGCAATTGCCGGTGTTCGCCATCTTCCTGCGGAAGTGGAATCCACTGAGTTCTAGATGGTCCTAGCGGCGAAGTACTTCGGGAACGTGCTGTCCTCACAAAAGCTTCGCAACCAGTGCTCCTTGCCTGCGCTGGGCACTGAACCCCTGTTTTCACGCATAACCGGTTCAACTGGTTCTGAAAGACTGCGGCCCGAATACCCCGAAAAGTTAAGGAAAAGCCTGACCGAGCTCCCTGCGCATCTCACGCTGCTTGAGGAACTCTTGCTTTGATGCATCAGAGGGTAGCGACATGCTGATGCTGTGGTTTGTGCGCACGGCCTGCTTGGGAAGTTCAACTTTCGAACCCAAGCGTGAGTTCATGGAGTCAAGAGTAGCTGGCTAGCTGGCTGCAGCGGCGACTTTACTGATTCCCTTCTTCGAACCTTCTCCACATGTTGAACCGAGAGTAAGCGGTCTTGTCACCACAAGCATCAAGCAAACAAGCATGCACAAACGTCGTACTTGTACTTCGCCATCCAGCTAGGTTTTACCTACTAGCTTATCCGAAGACAGCTTCCTTTAGTCGGGTTTGCCATCGGTGATACTCAGATACAATAGGATCAAACTGGGTTCATGGAGGGCAGTCTGGCCATTGATCCACCCTTGCAAGTTGTGCAACAGCTCGTGGAAGGGTATATCTGCGAAGGCGGTAACCATCACGTGCTCGTCGATTGCACCAGTGGCAGGACCGTTCTATTCAGGGCTCTGCTCACACCGGATGTTATGGCAGCGCTGTTTCTTACCTGCTCTGCCTCACCAACCCGAGCAGATCCCTGTTGCTAAAGCTTACGGGTGCCTGGCACCACAGAAATCCTGTACAGGGTTGACTTGGTCCCATCTGTGGAGCTTCCGTGCCTAAAGTGTGAAACACCGCTTCCGCGTTTTGCATTTATTCGATGCTGTTCCCGTACACCTTTCTGTACTTCCTACGTTCTTTGAAACTGCACCGTTCCCTCTCCCACCTCACTCATGGCCGGTCGCAGTGGCATCGCACTGCTAGGCGAGTCCAAGCTCTTGGCGTGCCTGCGACCCGCAGATGACAACAGGCTCCAGCAGGCCTCCGAAATTAATTAAGCCGTTCTGTTGCATCTTGTGGTAGCACAGCCACGCTCGAAGTTCTCGCTGGGGCAGAGGTTCGGATTTGTCGAAGGCCAAGCGGTACGAGCAAAGAAGAACCCCGCAGCGACCTCTCTAGCTGCACGAGATGCAGCTTCGTTTGGCGCCTCTCGTGAGTCCACTCGTCGAGAGGCCGTACGTCCGACTCTGCCGCTGCAGACAGTAAGTTCCCAGCCATACCCTGACCACGATAGTTTGCAAAGATGTCCTGTGCAGAAGGATGCTGCGTCAGGGTGCGACGCCCCGCCCCACGAACTCGTTGCCAAGGAAACGCGGAGAGTTCAGCATGATTCAGCCAGCCTTGGTTCTCTTGTCCAAGAGCCTTCTTGCCTGTCGAGCAAGTGAGCAGAGCTGACAGACTCGCGATGACCAGTAACCATGCTCAATCGATTTGGCATCGGTATGTTTCTATCTTTGGGCCTCCGCAGTGTTGCCTTGCGGGGATGTCAAGGAAAGGCGAATGGCCTGAAGGCACAACCGGCACCGCCTAGGGCAAACGTGCCCTGCATGTGATAATCGCTTTACTGCTCTGCACTGTTCTTTCTCATGCTGCTTTTACGTGCAACTAACAACAAACCTGCGGAGCCTGTGCCAGCTCATCGTCATGGGACGACAAACACCCATCCTGCCAGCAAACAAGAGTGGCAGCCAGACTCAAGAATCCCAACCTTGCTCTCTTGGGTTTGTGAGGCTTAAACATTGAGTTGCACGGTAGGTTGGTTGGAGTCAGTATCGTCGGACATATTCACTCCAAGTTGCGTTTCTGCTTGCTCCAAAAGTGAACACGAATGTATCTACGCTACTCGGCCTGAGGATGAGAAGTGCCGAAGCCATCAAAGCAAGCTAGCCGCTTTATCTAAAGCTGCTGCTCTGCATCAATCAAGCGTTCCAGCTGATTCCCGGCACCTCTGGTGCCGCAAACAATCTCCCGCATCCAAATAGATGTTGACATAACAATGTTTCAGAAAATGCTTAAAATTGTTTTCGAAAATCGCATCATCAAATAATTTGATTTTGTTAAACAGATATCAAAAACCCACGGAACAACTAGTGGTAATGAAATTCCCGTCCACTCTTCGTCATTATTCGATGGTGTCAAATGACAACGACACCAGGATTCAAATCCTGGAAGACCACATTGTTGTGACAATTTTACCTGTGTTATTTACGCATCGATTGTTATACTTGGTCCTGCATCGGGCGGGCGATTCTGTCGGTACGGCTTCACGCTGCAAACACCAGGTGTCCAGGTTTGGGGGAACCAACCAGGCAAAAGCTTGTTCGGATCGTTTGACCAAGACAAGAGAGCTTGCGAGATGTGTAGGCAAGTGCCACGCAACCAAGTTCCAGGCCAGTAGCAGTGGCATGTGCACCTTGATAAGGACAAGCTCCAGGTGTTCAGGTTAGACAGCCAGTTGAAGACACTCCAGGTGTCGCACGTTGTCCACGTCGCACGAGTCATGTTCAGGAGCCATGTCCAACGGCACCTAAGCAATGATGCCGCACGGCGAAGAAATGCTGGGCCCGCCAAGTGGCAGACGGCAAAGAATGCAGAAATTGGGAAAGCAAAGGCCAATAGCCCACGGTTAGTGCAACTACAGGCGCCATCTGCGGCTGAATGCTTGCGGAAGAGAAGCCAGCTTGAGGGCCTGAAAGTTCAAGCTCTCTGCGATCAGGAGTTGCCGACAAATTCATGGAATCTGCTTAGATGTGAGCTGAAGGTCAGAGCCAGAACCAGTCGCTGGCTGTACCTTTGCTGGCATATGAGAGCAGCTGGACTTCACCGGTCTAAGCCAGGCCGGCTCGACTTGCTGAGGACGTTGCAATGGGTGGGCGTTAGATCGCAGGGTTCGAGCCAATGGGGGTGAAGGCTGTGCTTTAGGCCCGGCGCCTCGCCCCCTGGACTGGGGCCGCCAAATGCTTGTGTGCCGTGGCGGGCATCCCCCACTGTTCACCCTGGCGATTCCTCTGAATCATCTTCGAGTTCAGCCTTTACAGCAGCTTCTGGGTCGAGTTGCGTGGCTTTGCAGCAAACCATGTGTCGCTGTGGGTTCACTGGGGACCCGCGAGTGTTGCACCGCTCTGCATGAGCGGGAGCTGGAGCAGGTGCTGTGCTGAGTGTGATGCACGGTTTGAAAGGCTGGGCGGTCGGTCAGGCAAGATCAAAAAACCAGCAGGAACATATCAACCCCGTCTGCCTTCTTGGCCGCACAGTATGTTTGTTGCCTCCTGGCGACTCTTGTTTTCATTTCACTGCGTTTTTGCGCACTGCTCCAAAGTGTGTTGAGCGTATTGCATGTGACGGTAGAATCCGCATTTCGGTTACATCTGGCTGTGGGTTTTGCGTCCAGAAGCACGGCCTGGAACCTGCTAGGTTAGAATTTCGGTCTCTTGAGCATCAGCGTAGTAGTGTCTCAAGACAGCGGCTTGCAAACATCCTCTGCTGAAGCGCTATCATGGAAACTACAAGGCCTCGACAAGCAAAACAACAAAGACAGTGCGAGGCTTTCGCATGCTTCCCGGCCAGATATACGTCGCAGTAGTGCTAATGGTGGAGCAATTTACATGAATGCTGGGATCACGCACGGTGGAATACGGACAACGATGCCCTTCTCCCCGCGGGAGAAGCTGCATCCCATTGACCTCAACGTCGTGCGAGGGGGGTTTTCGGCGCCTGGCTTAGCTTGGGAGCGACAAGACAAAGCTCTGAGGCTGCAAGCTCGGCCGCATCGGCCTGCTCAGGAAAGGAACGGTATCCTACAGCATCGCCTTCACTTTGCAGCGGAGCCTGCACAGCAATTGGATTCGGCGATGAATTCTCAACCTAGAACTGGCAATCAGCACGAGGAGTGCAACTGGCTTGGTGCTTACAGTCCAACGCATTCGGCTTGCTGCCGTGTAATCAATCTGCCAGGGGTTGAAGAAAGGGGAACAGAATATCTGCGATGGTGCTGACTTGGTAACAGTTCTGATAACGAACCACTGCAGCAAGGTCGTCAAAAGCTTGCATTCGTGAGCAAGCAAACCCGCGCAATAACAAAGAACGGGTGCGAGAGAGTCGGAGAGAGCGACCGTAAATCATGAACTGTATCTCGTCTTGTTCGACAATGACTATGAGCTGCATTGGATGATGCCAACCTTGATGCTCTCTCGCCTGAGGTCAGAAATCAGAAAGCTGCCTTCTTTCTGCACAAGAAGGTGCTGAAAGGCACGTCACTGATTCCACTGATGGGCTTCTCGTGCAGAATGCCCTAGTGACACCGGCTTCGAGATTCGTCTCAGGCGAAACTACCCGTGCTGATTTGATGATGCACATATGATGCACTATGAGCTCCAGTGGGCTTGTCCAGGCCATCCACCAGCCCAAACAGGTAGACTAAGTTCACACCTGATTCATCTAGGCATCCCGCAACGAAGTTGCAGCCGCCAGGCTCGAATTGGTGCCTCCGCACCAGGCCCAACAAAAGCAAGGAGCTGAACAGTCCATGCGAGAAGATCTTGGTTACGTGTGCATGGGGCAAAAGTTGCAAACATGCTGGGGTGAGTCAATAGTAAACCGCTTCCGAAAACTAGAGTCTTCGGCCGCTGAATCCTGTGGTGCATTTCATGTCGAATATTGTCGAATGCCAGTTTGTTTAAGTGGCCCTGAGGCTTCTCACTGAGAGCTGATCCTGTACTTGACTCCAGCGCAATGGGGATGTGACCAACCTTGACACGGACACGAGGTCGAGACCGGCAGACCGTCACTTGCCGAAACACCGCAGATGTTGCTACTGTGCCATGCTTTCCAATCCAAGCTCCCAGCTGCGACCACTCTTCTTGATTGCATGGCACAAGCCAGCAGCGACCTCGATTGCAGGTGCTAAAAGCAGCAGATAGCAGCAGCTTGCATGGCGGCTTCAGGGCCTGTTTCCAAGAAGACTCGATGCGCGTGAGCCGCGCCCGCTTCACGGAGTGCACTGCCAAGACTCCCTGCAACTGCTCGAAACTACTCGAGCTGGTGCAAGGCAGAGCAATGCAGAGCTCTCCTTCCGAGGGGAGGCGTCCTCGAGCTTCGCCAGGGAGATCGGGAGAATGCGGTATTGGAAGCCTGCCTCTGGTCACGCTGACCAAGCAGTGACGAACTGATCTCACACTGCAGCTCAATGCCTCCAGGATCACTTCCAAACTGACCTGACGACCGTTCCAAGCGCGTTCGGGACTGCGCTCCACACATGAAACACAGAGGCAACTTAGTTCTGGCAGACTGAACACGAAAGCTGATGCCGACATGCCTTTTTCGAGAGAAGTTGACCATTCCTCCGTCCGTGCAGTGATTCTTGAATCCTATCTGCCCGGTCGTTTGGGCACCTACACTCTGACTAGTGACTAATCTGCTGCACCTTTCTCATGATTTCGTGTCTCTGGGAAGCAGGGACAAAGATGCCTGGCAAGCTTGGCCGCATGTAGGACCGAGGAGTGAGCAAAGACGATGCGCGGCTCAGCGAGCGCCGGTGTTCGATTTCCATATAGCAAGGCCGAGATCGAGGCACAAGAAAATCGGGATGTTCGGCGTGCGATTCTCAGCCCCGTGGTCAGCAATTGTCATGTGCGACTCTCAGCTTGGGCAATCTGGGCGAGGCGTCTCTAAAGCGAACGTGAACGGCACAAATCGGAAGAAAATCCCGCTTATCCACCCCGGGAAAGTCCGGATCACCGAGCACACTCTCGCGCAGGCATTCTCTCTTTTCTTGCCTTGGGAAACTAACGGGTATTGCCCTCCTTTCTCCCTTGAGATCCTTCCGTCTCGACTTGAGTCCACCAGGTAAGGAATTCGTTGGGCGTGCCTGGGCTGATGCATGGACAGTTTCGGGGCCCCAGCGCAGTCATCGAAGGAACGCGGAGCTGCATCCACAAGCTCGAATCTGGGCGGTCTTGTCAGGATTATGCTCATCACGAGGCAATGCTTTCCAGGGCAGCAGCCCATCGCAGCCATCACTACCTGGCTCGGGATTCGCTTGCTGGTTTGTGGTAAATGCCCGTGAATCTGCTGAACGACTCGCAAAGCTCTCAGGATCAGGGCCTCGAAGTCGCCTGGCAAGTGCAGCCATGTTGATTCACAGCATGTGGGGGTTGCTGCATTGCTCCAGTCGCCAGCTGAGCCCCAGTCAACACAGCAAGACCAACATCCAAATTGGTGCAGTGGGCACCTAACCTGAGTCAAAGGTGATCCCCTCGCTTGAGCCGGTGACATAGAAACCGCCGCTTTCGGAATCCGGCGCACCCTCTCGAAGAACATGCCTCTCCTTCACGGAAAGCAGATGGCTTGCGCCGTGGGGCACAAGCGTGCAAGCACCGAAAGCAGTTGCTTGGGCGTCTGTTGACACAGGATACTGCACATGATGATCACGATGTGCTCGTGCAACTGGGCTCGTGGATGAATTCATAATGAAATGGACTGGCCGGACCTCCAGTGATTTAGGATGATTAAGGGCTACGGGATCGCAAACTAGCAGCAAATGCAGCTAAATGTCTTTCGCAGAGCATGGCGGTGGCCTTTCCCTGAGCATCTACCGGGTGTCTGTCACAACTACACACAGAAACCGCGCGACCCAGCATCAGCAACAGCTTCCACCATTGTCGTTGTCGTACTCGTGATCGCCGTCCTTCTTCTCTCCATTCGTCGCATCTTCTGAAAACCACGACAACAAGTCACCCACCTGTTGACGGGGCTGCATTGTGGACGTCCTGATACAAACCTCGCCATCCGACTCGAAATTTGCCGGTGGCGTTGCTCTAGATAGAAAAAATATATCCACCTACACTTGCACACACGTGTACATACATACATGCATACATACATACGTACGTAAATACATATACACATCCACACACATACATATCCATATGCACATACACATACATATGCATATGCATAGACATACCTACATACCCATATACGTATATATGTGTTTAATTATCATAGCTGTATCTGCACATGTACACGTGGGCAGGTACACATATGTTTCTTCATCTATGTGTGGTACGTAGTATATGCAAGTAAACAGATAAGTATCTGTACACATGCATGTCATGCATGGAGATGCTTACATTACATATACATATTATGTGTACATGCATGCATACAAACGTACATAGATACATGCATACCGACATACATACGACATGCGTTTCAACTCACGCCGGAACAGGCTACCCACAGTTCTACAGCGTCCTGCCAAAATGCGATGTCGACATTGCTTCGCTCGTCAACCATGATGTCGAAGGCCTCTGCACACAGCGTCTTCTCGCGTCAGATGTCCGCTTGCACGCCGTGGGGCATTAACCCCTGAATAAAATGATGCCGAGTCAAGCCTCTTTCTGCCAAGACTGTGGTGCAAGCTGCAAGCCTGACCGGCTCCGACTCCTGATGGAAGCCACGCCTGCTGTCGGACCTGACTGCGAGGGAGAATATGCAGGATGGACTCCTGCGTCTGGTGCTGCTGTGTGCTTACAGGCGAAGTGCATTTCAGCCCCCAGTCTGTCAGCCCTAATTGTTGTGCATGGATGTGAGGCTTCCTCGTACCAGTCGTGATGAACTCGGCATATTTCCACCTGCCCGAAGTATTCCTGGCAGTGCCCAGCGGCCAAGCTCCAGATCAACCTTTCACAGCACAGGCAACCGGCCTTGACATCCTCGAAAGCCATCCAGAAGATTGACATCGGATCGTCCATGAGGACACCTGCAATTTGCGAAGCTGCGACCGAGGACATGTGGCGGCGGCGAACGTGCTGCAGCAGAACTTACATTCGCCTCGGTCCTGGCCCAGGCGGCCACTGAGTGCCACTGACCCCCCCACCCCCCACACCTTCCAACCCCGCCGAACGACCCTTCGCAGCTGAAGGCCAAGGCCTGAACTGCTAGGCTCACGAAGGTGCATGTACTTCCCCGGGTTTGCCTGAGCTGTTGATGACACCTAGCTGCTTCTGGAGCTCGGGCGTCCATCCACTCCAGTCCTGCAAAGGATTTTCAAGGGCCATAACTCACGAGGACCTGGAGGAATCTTGTGCTCAATCGCACTTCAACCCGTGGCATGTTAAAGTTGGCAGCTCGAAGGGGTGCGCAGGACCAAAGTAGCACGATCAGCGCAGCCAACCCTCACAGTCTGAGACACCGAGTATGCGTGAAAGTTCGTCCAGGACCATACATCACGCTCTGCCATGAGACGTGCTATGACTCGACCCACTACATGTCACCACATATGATCAGACACAGGCAAAACAGTGTCATCGGAACGCAACCGTCGACAGTCCTTGCCCCACTTTCCTTTCCAGGTGCGGGGCGCATTTTGTCCCCAGGGGTTCCTGATCCTGGGAAAGGAAGAGTACGCAGTCGGTCGTGGTGCGATGTGCATCGGATCCAAAATCCCGACGGTCTCTCTTCTTCTTTTTGGATCGGGCTTAAGGCTTAAGCCTTAGGCACGAGGCCGCCAGGGCAGGGGGCTCTGCCTGTGCCAACTTGCCAGACCGGGCCTTGCCGGGGTGGACTGAGCCGACTGATGTCGCTTGCTGAACCGTTCCCGCAAGTCTTATGGAAGTAACCACCCTCATCTCAGTCACCCGGCTTTCAACACATGCTCGCCTGTCTGTCTTGCTCTTGCTCCCTGCAGTTGTCTCGATCACTCTTGTCTACACCGCCAACATCGCGCATCCACTCTGCATGGCGAGGCCACAACTTTACCAATCGGGCAGTCTCGCCATCAATGGTGACCTTATCAGATGCCCCAGAGTGGACGCCCGGCATCCGACAATCTTTCGACTGCCTAAGCTGGGCCTGGCCTCTGCGAAGTCCAAGATTCCGTACGCGTGGGGCGCCTCGTTCACCGGCTTACCAAGTTGTGGCTGGTCGCACAACCCATGTCGAGTCCGACATTTTGGGATCTAAACTGCAGAAGGGCCATTCCCCAGCAGCAACACTGATGATACGACACCCGACGCAGACCTGCACAGATTCGTTCGAATACAAGACCCACCGATCAATGTTCGAAGGAGGGGCAAAAGCAAAAACAGCAACAAAGGGCACGATGATCCGCAGCGTGGCCTTAAACAGAATCAAAAGTCCTACCAGCACCATGCCTGGAGCCCCATCTCCTCAACGATGTGAGTCCTGGACTTCTCACAGCCTGCAAGCAAAGATCTTATCCCAATCTCTTCTGCTGCTGCGTAGCAGCGCAACGCTGAAAGTTGCCTACCTGGCTGAAAGATCGGAGCCTTCTTCGGAGCAGCCGGCCCCCAGCAAGTAGCCAGCTTCCTTCACGGACATCGCCATTGTGCTTCGCTGGACTTGAATATCTGCAATGTCCCTACTGGCACAAATCCATTCGTCGGATGGCCTCCGGTTGTCTTGGGTGTGCTAAGGTGCTAGCAGGGGGCCGTCCGAGCCTGGCAAGAAAGCAGTTTTGACCAGATGAGGTCATCATCCTCGTCGTCGTCAGTGTCATCGCCTCGGAAGTGCAGCCCTCGAATCTGTGTCAGCTGCAGTGCTGCAGGCTCTTCCTCACTCCACTAATCTCCGCTGTGGATTCAGCACCTGCTCAGCTTTGGCCCTCTGCCTTGAGTTTTGTGCGCTGCGCACGGCCGCTAGTCGGCCGCAGGTATGACATTGCATTCGCAGATTCGCAGAGCTTGGGAGCTTCGCAGACAGAGCAGGGGATTGCCTTGCTTTGGGCATCTCTGCACCGCTAAGCAAGAGTTTGCAGTTTCTGTGGCTGTCTTTCAGGAGAAATGGCACCGTGGTTCCACGTTTGAAAGACAAGCTCAAGTTCAACAGCATACGCAGCACGCGATTCTCTAGCCGACGGGCTGGCTGCCTCTCTGCTCAGCTGAAACGGGGTTGGCGCTGAACGGAGTCAAGCTGGCCTTGTTCCGTCTCAGCCACGTTGGCAGACCCTGCATCTGCGGGTGCAACTCCCTCGACTTTGCAGGGCTTCTGCGATGCATGCACGAATCATTGTAATAACGGCAATATTGGAAAGCATTGTACCAGTAGTCAGCTGCAAGGACACCGCTGCTGCTGAATTCATCCTGGTCTACACACTTGAAACGAACCTCGGTCCCCAAAGAGCTTGAGAGGTGGTCGGCTATCTCAGGACCAGTCAGAAGTTCGCCACAAGCTGGAACATGGTGTCCGACATGTGCAGGGTTTTGAAAGATGCGATATGCAACAAGGCCTATGTCCGCTGCAGCGATCATGGGCAGTGCCCTGGTCTTCATTGGAAGCATGAATGTTGGATCGCCAGAGCACAGCTTGGGACCCATAGAAAAGGTGATCAAGTTCTCGAAATAGAATGCAGGTGTGAGGAATGTCGTCGGAATCTGAAGGCTCTGGAAGAAAGCATCGCCGCGGCCCTTGCCGTCGAAGAGGGGTACCTGGGCATCATGACTGAATGGCAAGCTTAATCGGAGAAATAATGCCCCACTCCCTGGACACGGCGCAAGCATGAGGGAGACATCTCGCTGTTCCAGGGTGGTTTTTTCTTCCGTTCAGTCCAATGCCAAGTATTATCTCGGAGCCTTGCTCCATCTAACCTACAATCTACAATCGCATGCAGTATCGAGCCTTTCGTGAGTACGGACGGCAGTGCAATGAAATTATGACGTATGTTCATGGCCAATTGGACTTCGAGGAAGCTGCGAAAACGGAAATGGGTCGGATTCCGCAATGTGGCGTCGAAGATTACTAAAAGGTGAAGGCTTAGTCAACTCTTGACCCTTCAGTAATCGAAGTCGGCTGGCACTGACATCCTTAAATGTCAACCTTACACTCCAAGCCGATGTGGCAATTTGCACCTTCTGCTCTTGGTCGCAGTAGACACTTCTCACTTTACAGCTGTCCCACAGCCATAGGATTACTGACGTCACTGGGGCGTGATCTCAAATTGGCCTGGACGATTGAAACACAATTGAAGGTCCAATTCAAGCAATGCTCATGGCTTGAAGTTGGTTCTGGATGAAACTCAGGTGGGCAGTCCGAGTGACCAGGAGCAGTTCAAGTTCGAATTGTGATGAGCCAGAGAATCAGAAACCAGGTAGAAACATAAAAAAACTGAACATGATTTGCTTAGATAACTGCGGAAATTATTCTGACATCCCTGGAATAGGCCGGCTGCCACAGACTTCTTCTGGAGCCGCGGTATGCGATGGTCATGCGGCGGCACGATGCCATTGGTGTCTTCAGCAGTGGACCAGATCACATGGCAAACCTAAGCAGCTTGAATCATTGAAAGTCTGCGACGGCGCAGATTCCGGAACTGGAGAAAAGTGACCGATTATCGAGGCGGACAACTGGACAGCTAACTGAACAAAGCCTGTTGAACCCTGCATGCACCGAAGGGAACTAAAGCAAGTCGGGCCGTGTGCAATCAGAGTGCCTGTGTCTCCGCAGCAGCCTCAGCATAGATCTTTGCATGGGCACATTCTTTCTCAGGAGAGAAATGGTCCCAGAAGAAAGTGACGCAAAAGACGCCGTACGCTCCCTTCATTGCTTCCTTGACCTGCTCCTTGTCGTCAATGTTGCACTGCACAACTTCTGCGCCCAAGTCAGCCAAAGCGAGGGATGCCTTGGAGAGCGCATCTCTGGTGACGGCACGAACCGCAAAGGCCCTGCCAGGATCTTGCCTCAGGTTGCAAAAGCACCTCTAGGAATTCGGAAATCTCTGGCTGAAGCTGCTACAACTTCCAAGTCCGCGGGGCAGTATAGCGCGTACCAGGGCACCACCCTGTGCACCAGTTGCGCCAAACACCGTGATGATCTTCAAGTTCCTTGCTTGCACTGAGCACCTACAAGTACCATGTCGAGCCCCTTCGAAATAAGTCTGCCGAACCTCGCCGAACATCGCTAAATCAAGTTTTCTGTCAATTCAGCTTCAGAAGGCAAGAACTTCGCAATGAAACAATGCCGACGGCAACTCCCGAGCACCGACTGAATCCTTTGAAAAGAGACAGAATCAGAAGGCAGATCAGGTGTCAGTACCAGAACTGGGAACGTCGAGCTGGAATGCGCTTCGTCTACATCTTGAGCACACCCTTCACCCTTCCGCCTGTGGCTTTCTTAAAGCCTGGGCTCCGCTGCAAAGCCTGGACATGGTCCCTTCCAGAGGAGAACCAGGCATGCAAAGGTCTTGCCGCGGGCACCAGCTCCTGTGTTCTTGAGATGCTGCGGATCTTGCAGGCTTCCTCGTTGCAGTCCATGAAGTATTGAAACCTCACGTTGGTGAGCGTCTACTGTAGGCATCATGGAACCAGCAGTTGAACTAGCAAGAAGATGCTGTTAAATGATCGTTATGTGAAGTTATGTGGGTATCAAACATGCTACTATGCACATGTTATGTGAATGCTATCTGAGTGACACACGAATGATACGTGAATGATGCCGACGGGGCGATTTCTACTCAGTCTACTCGCAGCGCGACGTCTGGAGCTTCAAGCGTATTTGCCAAGGGTAATCCACTTTAATATCGCTTGCTCTCGTTTTCAACTCCCCCCAACCCCCCCAACCACAACAACCCCAACAGCCCCAGCCAGCCGCCCAACTAATGGGGTGGTGGTTGGTGGGTGGTGGGTGGTGGGTTTTTGGTCGCGGTCGTCGTCGTAGTCGTAGTCGTAGACGTAGCAGTAGAACAAGTAGCAGCAGTAGTAATAGTAGCAGTAGTAGTACGTAGCAGCAAAAAAAATAGTGGTAGTTGCAGTTGTGCTGTGCTGGTGGTAGTGGAGATCACTTTGTGGAGCTCGACCGGATCAGAATCGTTTGGCGCTGAAATTTGACTGTGCTTGACCTAAACGGCTACTGGAAAGAGGCTCGTAGGCACAATACACACGCACGCACACACACACACACATACACAAGTCCCAGACTCTAGTAGGTCCTAGACTCCTAGACTTCGGGGTAAGGTCTTTTGGTGGGTGGTTGCAACCCACGATACACTCCACACGCTAGACTCGGCTTCTATGTTCGTAAGACCCTCAAACCCGCCAGAGCTCGCAGACCGTCGTCCAAGCTCTGGGCTGGAATTTGCGCCAAGTTGCATTAATCCTAGGGCTTCGGACTTGGAAGCCTGCATTTTGCGGAAGTCGGCTGGAGGTAGATATCTGAAGGCCACCTCTTCTCCCAAATGTTTTGAAAAAACGCCTGCGATCTGCGATCCAGTTAGCAGATCTCCGCACACAGGCACATACTTCTTGACCATGTCCTTCCCCTTGAGAAAAATCTGCCGAGCACACTCAGCGACGTCCTCCGCAGACACCAAGGGCACCGGCTGATCGCGGCTGATCGGCAGCTCGACGAAGAGCTGTCCGTTCGGAGCTCGGCGCGGTAGGAAGCCAAGGGCTTCAAAGTCCAAAAAGCTTTCGTAGAAGAAAGAAGGGATCAGAAAAGTTGTTGGAACATCCGCTTCATTGAAGTAGTGATCACTTCGGCCCCTACCATCGAATAGAGGCACTCTGCATCGTGACTTGTCCAGAGGCAAGGTTTCAGAGTCGTCCGGAATTATCGCGCAGGTGTCTTCCTCAAAGCTGGGAGCACTGTTGTGATGCAGCCGCAAAGGAGAAACTTGAAAAGAACAGTCTTCCAAGCGTGCAAGGTGCGAAAGTCGACCAAATGACATGCTCAAGTTTAGCTTCCTTCGCAGAAGCAGCAAACCTCTTTGCAGCCAGCTGAGTCCCACGTGCGGAACAGCTGAAGGGATTCAAGGTACAGTAGGCTCCATGTGCACCTTCCTCAGCTGCGCCGATCCAGACAGTGACACAAGTTGTGGTGTGGGGTTTCAGCCAAACTTTCAAGAGCTGAGTCACAAGGATTTCGGCAAGTCCGTTCGGATCATTCGTGTTCTCAAAGACCTCCGTGGATCTCTGGAACAGGAAGGTGCTATGTAAGACGGCGAGATCGGAAGACTGCGACTTGTACGGAATCTGCTTCATAGAGCTGCGTTAGGGGAAAGCTTCGTACATCACCTAGCTGTGACTGACTGCGGACTGTCGGGGACAACTGCAAGTCTGAGGAACCTCTGCACCCAGCTGCTTCAGATGCTGAGCTGCTAGAGATGTCGCATCAGGCACCACAGCTCGGACACGGGTGCGGTGTTGCAGAAGGCATCTCACCACCTGGGGGCTTGTTCATGTTTGTTCCGCCGGTAACGGCGTTCAACTTCTCAGTACAAAGCTCCGATGCCAAGCTGCAGCATTGCCCTCTGTACCGGTCGCGTCGAAGACCACGATGGGCGGTCCGCTAAAGACGCCACCCATGAGCGGGCCCTACGGCACCAACGAGCCGCATGCGAAACGGCTCCGGAAGTTCTCAAAGTTCGAACTGAGCTCGCCAGAACTGACCCTCAAACTCTCCCAGCCAGCCCAGTCGGGCATGTTAATGCTTAGCTCTCGGCTTTGTTCTCCCACATCTGCTCCACCCAGCAAGAGGCGCATGCGCTGTTCCTGCCTGGCCTCGAAGGAGTCAACATTTGTTGTGCCCGCACCGCTTCTTTTGATGGTGCCCTGCCTACAGTACCCAACTCCATGTCCGGATTGAGAGCTGGTCATGCATAAGAAAACCCGTGGCCCAATACACTGGCTCTGCAATATTCCACCTCTTGAGGTAGTGCAGGAGGTGAGATACCCACTGGACCCGAACATGTCCAACTCAAGACACAAGCTTCATGTGAACCATCACTGAACCATCAGGGGAGTCGAAGCGAGGAAATAGTATCATTTTGGCTGCAGGGGAGGCATTGGAACTGACGTTCCGCGTCTTCTGATAAACGGCAAAACTTCTCATTGCATGGGGAATGTTAACTCGCTGCAAGCCTTAACCCTATGAGGACCATGAGGACCAGAGTAGCAAAACGCTGAGAACCACCACAGAACCGTCGGCAACAATCAACACGCTCGAAGCAATGCACAGTAAACAGAGAGGTACCATTGAAGAAATCAGGGGTAAGGCAATGAAGATGCACATTCAGCATGGAAGGCATCAGTGCAACACGCCAGCCGAACAGTGCAGAACTACTTCGGCTAACTACCACATGGCATGTTCTCTCCACCCTTAGCGCGACAAACATGTTGGTCTTGTCACCCTGATCGCTGCCTGGCGCTTCTCCTCTTTCTCACGCCGAACTGCCGAAGGAACGTAAAGGCGAAGACGCTGAGGCACAGAGAGCGGCCAGCGGCGTGTGACGATCGAACACAAGATGCCCATGTCGGCATGATCAGCATGGCAGCTATGCATCAGGTCCCGACGCAAACATGCAAATGCTACGTGTGATACATAGAAGACAACTCCGGCTGTGCTGCATTTACTGTAATTAACAACAGCACCCGCACCCAGCCCTACACCTCTGCCGCATTTGTTGGCAAAATTTATGATTGAAATCCAGTGAAGGATCAGCCCACCTGCGTCGGATACCCAGTGAAAAGCGCCAAGGCCTGCTCTTCCACAAACGAGCAAAGCACAAGGATCGACAGTCGAGAAATCAGGAACAGCGCGAGCATCCACGCGTCTAGTTACATTCCAGCTCTGGTGTTGTGGCATCTAGTCCTGCCTCTGCGAAGGTGCCACCCTTAAGTGCACCATAGCAGCCTCAACTGCAAAAACCCAAGAAGCGGCCGTGCAGTGGCTGGTGTCAACTGGATAATATATATATATATATATATATATATATATATATATATATATATATATATATATATATATAACTAGTTCAGTATACACAATAACAATGTAGACATATATATATATATATATATACGTACATACATACATACATAGATACATACATATATTTCGTGCGTGCTTGCGAAGAGTATGGGCTCTCGAAAGAACCCTGGCCCGAAGGCCTACCTTTTCGGGGTTGAGCGTTGCCCGCGTCCCCCAAATGTGCCTGTAAACCCTCCCCCTTGTCGAGTAAGGCTTCGAGTCGACAAGGGCTTTGGCAGGGTTAGGGGTGTAGATTCCTAGGGGTTGACGGTTTATGTTCTGCTTTGGGCTTAGAGCCTGCATTTTGAAAGTGGGGTTTAGGGTTGGGTGTAGGGTTACAGTACAGATAAAGGTAAAAACAAGAGCGCGCACGTTATGGGTCTTGCGTAAGATCTTGGCCCTCTGTGACCCTGGCCGACCGCCCAAAGCCCCGCCCTCCAGCTGCAGCTTCAATAACCCCGACCCCTCTCCGCACACGCCAGCACCCCCCCCACCCCGCCCACCATACCTTTGGGGCGGGAATGCCAGGCACCTGGCATCCGTTCCCAAGGCTGTCTGCGACAACAGTCACAGGGATCGAGCTGGTTGGGGCGATCCTCGTGACAGTCCTCGTTTTCGAGATGGGATCGACATCGCCGATATTGGGATCTGTTGGTGTCACGTTTCCCCTGACTCTCGCACATCTTCGACATGCAGAGCAAGTTCCCATCTCGAACATGGCATAAGTAGCTGTGCTTTGCATGATTGTCTTTGCTTTGCAGGGGCAGGTTGCAAAATATGCTTCGCACCGGAACAGAACCCACCCACCCAAACCGCACGGGGAGGAGGCATCGGGTGTTAACCCCGAGTGTAGTCGCAATTCCAATAAGGATGACAATACAACTACTAACAAATAGATGTAAGCATACCTGTGTAGGTTTCCCAGGTGCTCAGTAGCCAATCCAATTTAAGTACAACAACACAGCATGCGACAAGTCAAGCAAGATTGCAGCTTCTGCTTGGTGGCATGCTGGGGCACTTAGACTCAAGCTTGGAGGGAGGGCCGGTGTTCCTGCATACTTTAAACAATGGTGAACACCAGGGGCACCGCCACAGAGGGGAGGGGAGACAACGAAGCCAAGAGACCAGGAGCCCAAGCAGGACCACAGACACCACACCATAGAGCGTCGTGGGGGGGGGGGGGGGGGGGGGGGGGGGGGCGTGGGATACCATGGGGTGGCCCGGCATCATCTTTCATATGTATATATATATATATACATATATATATATATATATACCTGCCTATCCAGCTATCTCTCTCTATTGCGGCATCTCGCGGCTACTTTTCGCGAACATTGCTCGAAAAGTTTCAGGCAGCATCTGGCCAACATGAAACTCAGCAACACGGGAACCAAAACAAGGAGGCAAACCCACTACCAATCAGCACTTTGGTTTCGACGGCTTAGGTAAGCATGCATGTTGGTGCTGCAGCTTTACTTCGAGACGATCTTACAAACCGAATTCCCGGGACAGCGCAGTGCCAGAAGCCACTGTCTGCGCCGAAGCAGTATCTCTCTACTCCGAGAAGCTGTGCAGCTGAGCCTGGGATGCGCTGGGTCTTTGTGTCTGCCGGAAACTTGAGATTCCGGCCGAACAGTTTGGCAGCTGCCTCGTGGACATTCATTTCCAGAGGCAGCAAAATCTGGCGCTAAACCGCAAAGCCTTCTCGACCAAGGGCGGCCAGAGCTGGCGCCTGGCGCCCTGCGCTTGACCGCTGTGTGGGCAATGGCTGACCAAAGCAAGTCATCACCAGGCTGCAGAGCATTGGAAGGCGAAAGGCCCAAAAGAAACCTGATGACTTTTTCTTCGTGCTTCTTGATGCATAAGCCGTCTTTGCCTGTACAAGATTGCTACAGCGATGCAACTTCCGATGTTCTGCAGGGTTTGGGGTGAGGCAGGGGTGGAAAGAAACCACGTTCCACTGCACCTTGCGTTGAATAGCTGGCACACAAGGGATCTTCAGGAGCCGCACGCAAGATTGTCTGCGCGAGGAGGCTCTACGGCCAGTAGCTCCCAGCATAGCTCAAGCGTGCCTTGCGCACCTCACAGCTGCGGAGTCTCATCAGAAGCAAGAAAGCACCATTTGGCGAACCTTGATCACACCAAGTCTAGGAAATACCTCAACGCCAAAGCCCCAGAGCGTCGCAGCCAGCCAGCTATACCGCTGCCTCAATGGGAAGCGCGCCGAAGAAGTCGAGCAACCTCGCATTGTCGCACATGGCGTCCTCCGGCCCTGCCTCTTACAACACGACAGTATGTCGTGTAACCATTGACTCACCATCACATTTACAGTGCACCTTGCCCGCGATGCCGGTTTTTCTTGAGCTGAGGGGGCAGGGGTGGGTTCTGGGTTCGGGTTGCCGGTCGGTCATCAGCACAGATCTCGATTTTTCCACCGGAATTCGTGAAGTAGGTGCGGAAACGAGGGCGGCTGCCACAGTTCGTGGACCGATGTCGCCACTAAACAACCAAAGCTGTTACAAAAGCAGGTGGTTTCTCTCGCAATCCAACTCGCCCATTGCATTCGAGGCAAAAGGAGCTTCGAAATGTCGCCGGTGGGTTTCACCGGTTCATCGTTCACCGTGAAGAATTCTCTGGGCAACATTGGGCCCCATCCTGAACACTGTAGCACGGACTGAGCGATGCGTCCAAGTCCATGTTGTTTGTTTCTCTGTCTGCCGGGGTATGCCAATTGCTCAGTCTGAGCCTCTCTCTTTGAGTTTCTGAGTCTGTCGGTCCGCGTTTGCCAGCCAGCTGTTGGGGCCTCCGCGTCAGCGCAGTACCACGGAGGAACAACCTGCAGCTCCTGTTTACGGAATTGTCGCTTCCGCCCCTGCATTCTGTCAAGCACCACGGCTTGTCCACGCTTCTTTCAATGCCCTCCATGCCGTGTAACATCGTTTAGCCGTAGGTGGCATTCTTGCAAACTGGCTTCCCTTTCTGCCTCGTTTTGGCCCACCTTGTTTTTCTCCTAGTCCTACTCGGGACGTTGCTACTAAAGTCTTGGATCGTCTCGCTCATTCAAAGTCCGAAGCGCAGCGTTGCTGACCGGCTTGTTGCTGACCGGCTCCCTGCACGTGCCATGTTCAGGCGGACGCATTTAACGTCTTTGTTCGGCGCTCACCGAACTGTTGCACCAAACATAAGGTTTGCTGCAACACAGGTCCCGTCCCCCCACCCCATCCCAGCACCACGGAGATCTAGCTCCTCAACACAGCAGATGAGCTCAGATGTGCCTAACAGGCTTCTGTCTTCCTTTTGCCCAGCATTGAAGGTACAAGTCGACTGTGTTTCTATCTCTGTCCGTCTCTCTGTGTGTCTTTCAATGTAGGCGCATAATCCTCCTCTATGTCTCTGGTACATCAAGTGTTGTGACTTGCATTCCAGTGGCGGCTTCATGTCGGGTAGCGCCAATTTGCCTGCCATTATCTAATTGCGAGTCAGCACTAGCACCGTCATGCCAGACAATCGCCGAACACTTCACTGCAATCTGTGAATTTGCACGGCGGAATCCACATGCACAACTTTGTTTTAATCTTTCACGCGAGCAACTACGAAGATAGCATGCACAGGAAAATCTGACCTGCAGATAGTCACTCGGGCAGACGTGAGCTAGTTCGGATGTCATGGCATACACATCTGTCATGACTAGTAGCACTTGGTAATAATCGGGCCCAGTGCATGCATAGTAAACTGCAAGACACTCTATTCGCCTAAACGCAGCTAGGCTGTGCCGGGCGCATAGAGTGGCCGCAAATTCAACGACTGGAGAAGCACTAGAATCAGAAGCTGCAATGCGATGGCTTTCAGGGCCAAGAGCAGCAGTGGAAGCCTTTGGCTTCCACTTGATACTCATGTTGCTGGGCCGAGGTCCTTGAGCTGATTAGCGGGCCAGCTCATGGGAAAAAACACGCTGCATTCCATGCTTCGCAGTGGAATGCGGAAGATGGTATCTTGTTTGGCTCGAGGCCTGGGACATCCTAGGACCCGTCACACCAGCAACTTCCCCCACGACGCCATGCAGTCAGGCGACTAGCAGAGCAAATCAATCAACGGACGCATCGCATAGAAGTCATACAAGGATCGGTCCCGTAAGTGTTCTTTCTTGCTTGCAAGTACGCCTGGAGGCGGTCAAACACCACCATCAGAATATATCATCTGTTTTTTTCATTGCGCAGTCATACGCTAAAGCCTACCACATCCGAATCAGCACCTTTGGCAGAAGTGCGGCGGGAGCCCGGCACCCGCCGTGGCGAATCCGGGGCCTGGGCCAACGAGAAATTTCGGCACTCAGCTGCACACACTGTGCAGACAGCTGCAGACCTACGGCCTACGGACCTCCTCTGACAACGATCTTCCCCGGCTGCTTCGTGGCTTTGGCACGGGTGGTACCTTTACAATCACAGGAGAGCAGAATTTCAACATCGCGGCAGCTGTTGGAGGACATTGCACCACGGCCTCCTCAGACAACGATTTCAGACTACCACGAGTCGTCTGCTTCGGTGGCGTGGGCTCCTGCGATGAACAAAGTATGGGATCACCAAGAGAGTCAGAGGGCCACCCTGCCATGCAGATGTCCTTTGTCGATGGCACGGAGACGGTCGACATCAATTGCGAGCGAGCTGTTAGCACCAGGCTTTGCTCACCGATCTGACAGGCAACTGGGCTTCAAAGCAATGCTTTCACAGCACAGACCCAACTCGATTACGTGCTTCAGTGAAGTGCTTCCACTGGCCTCCGATCCGACGGCAGTGACGATCTGCTGTGTCATCCGCAAGTCATAAACAGAGAGATTCCTCAGCTCCCGAATCAACTTTCACATTGCAACATTCGAAAGGAAAGCTGTTGGGGCAACCGCATCTAACTGTCGATTTTCTACAAAGCTTGTCACTGTACTGTCTGCCCGCTGCCCAGTTTCGCAAGGACGTGAGATAGACCTGCCGTTCCAAGCTCCTCGATCTTGTTGCAAAGGACGAAGAGCTTTTCCGTCAGCTGGTTCGGATCTGGCACTCGTCCTGCAGAGCTTCGAGCTGAGCGCTAAGAACCGCAAGGACGCTGAGGCAACTAGTAAAAAAAACTTACTTGTTCATCCAAAACTCCCAGGGCCAAAAGGCAAGACTCTTGAGAGCCACCCATGGCATTCAGGCCTCGGCAGCAACACTTAGCGTTTGGCTCCTGCAGCCTGCCGCGCGGCGCGGATATGTCCCCACAAAGGGAGGCTTACTGAAAGGAAGCGCGTGCGGAAACCACACAACAATGAGCTGCCGCTGAAGTCAGCTTCGCGATGTACTCTGGGTTCGGGGGTTATCAGGCACACATGTCTGTGTATGAGGTCAAGGTAACACAAACCTACTGCGCTCAATGCCACCGCAAAGCCGTTACGAAGTGCATCTGCGCATTCAAGAACACTGGCAAGAAAAAATTGAACGAAGCTATTCCGGCAAGGTGCGAATCAAAGCAGAAGCAGTTATCCCGAGCATGATCAAGACGATTCCGTTGAGCATGACCACTATCCCAATGACCGCGCTGGTTAACTGCTCCAAGGTGTGATCGGCAATCGCTGGGGCAAAGGCTCCCAGAATTGCCATCATAAGGATAAGAGATGCACTAATGATCGCATCAAAGGCATTCAGCGCTGGAAGCTTCCACGGCCAAGAGATCAGCTGCACAATCATGTACAGGAGCATTGTGGACACAATCAACAGCATCTGAATGTATGGACTGTCCCCGGCCAGGACGATAGCTAGAGACAAGAGCAAGCCACGAGGCAGCCTTAGATTCTTGGATCATGGCAGGGGCAATCACAGCGGGCTTAACCCCCACCACTGCCTACAAAAAAGAAGCCCAGCGGCATGAAAGTGCCAAACCACCAACAGTCAGCACGGAAGCGGAACAGCAAAAATCGGGTCGCCGAAAGGAACCTCAATTTCGCAAGAGCGAAAGCAAGTGCTCCGGGGTTTCAAAGGCCTCCGAGACCGCTGGCTTCAACGGCAACGGCATCTAGATTCTAGAATTCAACGTCCCTTTTCAAGGATGTATGGCACAGTCGCGCCTACGCAAGGGTGCTTCACGGGAAACACCAAGTGCTGTGTGTCATGATGTGTCATGGTGCTCATGGCTCCGACGCAGATTGTTAGTCAAGGCAAAGCTGCCAGCCATTGCCGCCAGCGGCTTTCGAGGGTGCCTTGATGGTTGCCCAAATGGTCATCGCGTAGAACGAGGTCATCATGGCAAGCACCAGCAACCCTGTCACAAACCTGAGCCGAGAACTTAGCTGAAGCAGCTTTGCCTGAACTCAAGATGCTCCAAAGACTCCAGCTTGCCACCAAGGCACATGGGCGTGTGCTCGGTGCTCGAAAAGCAAAAGATTCCGTTGTGCTCGAGCATGCCAAGTTTGCCGTTTGGGTGCGAGTAGCACATCATGGGTGAAAGAGCGACTTTGCTGTAGATTGTGAAGCTGACCTGCATGAACTGTCCCATAGTGCTGATCAGCTTTGAGCTTTCGAAAGCAAACCTGCTCGGGAGGGCTCTGCTGAGTAAGCTGCTCAGGACAAGCCAGATTATCGCAGATGGCAGAGCCACGGCGATCAGCACATAGCCGGTTACGGGGGAATGAGACACACAGTCAAATCCCACAGCTTGCAAGTCGAGAGTGAAAATGCTGAGCAAGTCGAAAAGCCATTGCAATTGACGTGGCCACG